CGAGTGAATATCCATCATGTCCCGACTCCTAAACGCGAGTGTGTTTTATCGCCGCAGCTCTTGATGCTTGCCTTGCACAACACATTATGAGAGACGAGAAAGAAGCGGCACCGCTGAACACTCACGCTGTTTGTGAAATTGCGTCTGGCAGATAGTTGTTAAAAGAATGATTTGATTTTATAATCTGTGTGGATTACGATTGCGGGAATTTCCCGCATTATAAATGGGAGACCTGCGGGAATGATTAGAATTATGCGCAATACCCGCGCCGAAATTTGAGCCCTGCAATATACAAGACGTTTGTAGTAGCCTTCTGATTACTGGAGTCCATTAATCGAACTTCCATGCCTCTTATATAGTAATTATATATTGTAGTATGTAGGCTACCAATTTACTAATGCAATTAATGCTCACACTCGGTTTCTCTCGTGCTCTGTCGCTCGCGCGCAGACACACTCGGAGTTCTGTAGCCTCCGGGCTGGTTGCGGATGCAGTGTTGCCAACTATTTTCAAAGGAAAGTAGCTAAGGCCTTCCCTAAAAGTCGCTAAATGTCGCTAGATGACGTCATACGTCAATTAGCATATTAATGACGTCATCGCGCCGTACTTGCGTTCTGTCAGCCTAGTGCGTTTCCTCTCTAAAATTAATGCTCTATTCAATATAATATAGCCGAATGTCAAATAAAGCTGTTCTCATTTCCCATTTTTGTTGTTGTCAGACAATTGAACGAGTAGCTATAATATAGTGAATGATTACATTTTGTATAGGCCTATGTGGAACATTATCTGAATTGAGAGAGTTAGGGAACCGGATGAACTAAGCTCTGTGATAGTGTTACAAGTAATAAGCACAATAAAAGAAATTAAATTTAAATGGTCAAACTAAAAGAGAAGCAGATAAGTGATAAGTCCGTGGAAAAACACTGCTCATTCGCGTCTGTCAGCGGCCGTGCGCTCCTCTCAGCCATTCACTGAACAGGGGAGACGCAGCTAGAGAGAGTGACGACAGGGAGAAAGCAAGACCTCGCGCTCGCAGGACAGTACTGATAACATTTTGAGGTTACTGAGGTTTGTCCAAAAAGTCGCTAAAATTGTCGCTAGTATCTTTTTTGAAAAAATGTCGCTAAAGGGGTCTGAAAAGTCGCTAAAAATAGCGACAAAGGCGCTAAGTTGGCAACACTGTGCGGATGAGACAATTGTTGAATGAGACAACACGCGAGGTGAGGGGGAACAAAAGCAAGGAGGCGGGGGCGAGCACAGCACAGAGAAGGCAAACAAGCAAAGTGGCGAAATCAGGATTAAATATAAACAATATATCGATATATACGATATGTCAAAATCCATATCGTGTTTAAAAAATATCTCGATATATTTTAAATATCGAGATATCGCCCACCCCTAGCACACAGGCACGTCTGCCTCATAATACAACATAAAAAAGCTCTTTGTGAATTGTCGTCCTCGCCTTGTAGTGGCTTGAATTCAAAGGGGAATCAGATATGCGTGTTTAGACGGAGGTCGGATGTCCAGATATCGGATCTCGAGCGTATTTTTGTGTTTGCACGTGTGCAACAAATCTTAGGGCTGCACAATATATAGAAATATCGCAAATGTATAGGCTAAATCGCGATAAGCATATCGCAACGGCTTGCAATAATGGGTCATGAACAAAAGACAAAGAGAAAATCACTCACTGCTCTTGGCTGAATACCTTTTGTAGCTTTATTAAGAATTAGTATATATTTAATTCATACAGTAAAAAACTAAGCAGTGTTTTATTTTTACATTTGATTATTCAGTTTCTGTTGTTAAATAAACCTAATGTAGGCCTTCCTGAAACCCTAAACCCCTATGGTTTACACTGATGTTAAAATAACACTTACTTGTGCTACAGTAAAACACTGTTCACTTTCAGAAGCTGTAGGGATGTTTTCTTGTCACAAAAAGAATGTGAAACACATATATAGTTTATAATTGTAAAGATATTTTAAAGATAATTACGTTTATGTCACACACTTTAAGCATTATCACATTATTTGATGAATTATCGCATATCACATTTTTCTTCAATATCGTGCAGCCCTAACAAATCCCGATCTGTGTCAGATGTGAGTAAAAGATCTGATGTTTTGTGCCAGTTCCAGTGAAACTAACTCTTAATGCTTCAGCATACCAAGACATTTTGGACAATTTCACAATCCCAACTTTGTGGGAACAGTTCAGGGACGACCCCTTCCTGTTCCCACATGACCGTGCAGCAGTGAGGTCCATAAAGACGTGTTTGGATGAGTTAAGCCTAGTTCACACTACATGATTTTAAAACGTCGGGCTGAACTGTGCGGTTCACACTACATGACTTGCTCTCTGTGAAATCAGGAGTGTTCAAGTTGTTGAGCTGTTCACACCACACGACACAACGTGATTGATCCGCAACAGGAGGTAACGCACTACACGAGTTGACAACTCTGTCACCCAACGATTCTATCTTGTCTACAGACCAAGTTTTGTCACGAAAAATCACGCGATAAAACGAACCGGAAATGCCGCGAAACAGCACGCGCGCCAATACCCAGCGAAGAAGAACACGACGCGCGAATATTGGACGTCAGACAGAAACTAGTGCTGCAAACTGTTTGCGCGATGATTTGCTCTGAGAAAAAAACGCAAAAAAAGAAAAAATAAGATTTACCCGGTGACCTCAAGCCATGCCTTGCTCTGATTGGCTGTAGCTCATGACATCACGTGAGCTTGAGTCGTGCGACAGCTCTGGATATCTAGCATGCTAGATATTTTTCTGGGCTCGGCGACGCGTCTGCGAGCGTCTTTGATGCGTTGTTGGCTCTTACAGATTGGCGAGCGTTCATCGCCCGCTAATCCCCCGCGATTTGCACGCGATAACACCCTGACCTGTCGGCGAGCTCAACGATTTGCAAATCGGGCTTAAAATCATGTAGTGTGAACTAGGCTTTAGGTGCGGAAGAGCTCGCCTGGCCCGCACAGATCCCAGTCCTCAACCCCATCCCACACATTTGGGATGACCTGGAACAGAGATTGTGAGCCAGGCTTTCTCTTCCATCATCAGTGCCTGACCTCACAAACGCTCTACTGGATGAATGGGTTCTCACACAAAACACTCCACAATCCTGTGGAAAGCCTTCCCAGAAGAGTGAGAGCTGTTACAGCTGCTATACTCCACGCTATTATGTGTATTTAACACATGATGTCAGGAGTCGCTGTTGGTGTAATGGTCAGGAGTCGCAGTGCTGTTGCAGTGTTTAGTCACTGGTAGATGGGCTGTCCATTAGCTGGAAGCGAGCAGTATCTCATTGCACTGGGAATGATCCCACATCTGGGCTCTTTGAAGGCAGCAGCCCCAGTCCAGGCCAGTGCTGCTGTAATGAGCCGTTCCCCCGCAGCAAACCTGATGTGAAGCGACCGTTTCAGAACATGCATGTCATTGTTCTGCCTTTTCACAGATTGATGCTTCATAGTTCATTGTTAATTCCGGTACTTAGTGATTTAACCATATGATCAGTTTTATAAAGATAAATGTATTTAAAAATGAATGTTTGTATCTCATTCAATCTGCTTTTGTGCGTTATTGATGAGATTTCCTGCAACCTCACTTAAAGGAATAGTTCACTTTGAAATTAACTTTTGGTATGTTTTAGCTTACCTCAAGGGCATCCAAGATGTAGGTGTCTTTGTTTCCGCAGAAGTTTCAATTTTGATATTTTTAGGTCAAACCGTTCTTGTCTGTCAGTCATATAATGCAGGTCTATGGTCACCACCTCAAAGAGCATGCACAGAGAAGTCCAAATTAAACATGATTTAATGACTCGTAAATGTAAGTACACATTGATGGCCTAAGACACGAAACGGTTTTGTGTGAGAAAACGAACAGTATTTATATCGTTTTTACCTCTTGTAACCACAGCCACGTCCAAGTGATCTGAGGGCGCGGGCGCTTCGGTCTGTGCGTTACAAGAGGTAAAAACGATATAAATCCTGTTAGTTTAATCATGTTTAATTTGGACTTCTCTGTGCATGCTCTTTGAGGTGGACCCCATAGACCTGCATTATATCACTGACAGACAAGAACGGTTTGACCTAAAAATATCAAAATTGAAACTACTGCGGAAACAAAGACACCTACATCTTGGATGCCCGTGAGGTAAGCTAAAACATATCAAAAATTAATTTCAAAGTGAACTATCCCTTTAAGGATTTATTTAGTAAGATTAGCCTATACCTGAAAAGGTTTTAGATTTTTTTTGTATACTATGTTAATTAAAAAAATCCTGTATAATTTGACTTGCTGTTTTTGTTTGTTTGGTTTTTATTGTATTTATATGATATTTGTATTTTTGTAATTTAATTTTTGATATGAAAATAGCCTTGGATGCTGACATGGCACTAAATAAAACGATCTGAATCTGATTTCTTTCATGTATTGGTGCAAACTATCGTTCCTGTCTGTTTCTGTTGCGCCGACTTGTGTTCAGTCTCGGCAGCTCCTGATGGGTGTGCACTTTTGCCCAGTAGCAGCGCAGTTGCTGTTATGTAACTAGACACCTGCCACATCCTGGCCAGTGTTCACCTATGGGATTTTGTTCAGACACAATGTTTGGATGTTGCATTTCATGTAGCCTTGTGTTATTAGCTGTCAAAGCATGCGCAAGCTCTGGTAATGCAGCCTTGTGAGTTGTGGCTAAATGACGTGTTGTGTTACTGATAGCTTAACTGGTTTAATCGCACGTACAGGCTCATGTTTTTCCAAATGTGTCTTGCTTGGTTTGCCAGATAAGGTTGACCTAAACCTGTGATATCTATTGGAATGACTTCCAATCAGATTTGTTGATCTGGATGAACTTTATACTTGCTTTGAAGAATGGAAAATCATTGGTTTTATTATTGCTATACTGAATTTTTTAACCAAGTAATGCATGTTTGAAAGTGGGAGTTTTTCAAATTTTTTCTAATCTGTTTTTCCTCATCAGTGACGCACAATGCCGATAGTGGACAAGCTCAAAGAGGCCCTGAAGCCGGGCCGCAAGGACTCCAGCGATGAAGGCGACCTCAACAAGTTGCTGGCTTCATCCGCCAAGAAAGTGCTGCTGCAGAAGATCGAGTTTGAGCCGGCCAGCAAAGGCTTCAGCTACCAGCTGGAGAACCTCAAAACTAAATATGTGATCCTGAACCCCAAGAATGATGGGGCAGCGGCACAGAGACCGTCTGAACCTGCTCAGATTAAGAGGCAAAGTAAGATCTCCGGTTTATTATTTCAAAAGTGATTTGTAGTTAAAATGAACAATTAAGAAATTCGATTTTAGTCAGGCTTATAATATTTTGTTTGGATTCTGATATTTCTTCTCTGAGATACATTTTATTCTGTTCATACTTTTGAAACGGTTTTTAATCTAGTTATTCCAAATGTAGTTGTAATTCTTTTTAAACAAAAAAGGGGCTTAAAGGGATAGTTCACCCAAAAGGGAAAATTACCCCATAATTTACCCATCCTCAAGCCATTCTAGGTGTGCATGACCTTATTCTTTCAGGCGAATACAATTCGAGTTATATTTAAAAAAACATAATAATCCTGGCTCTTCCCAGCTTTATAATGGGAGTGAATGGGAGGCCAAAATTTGAAGCCCAAAAAAGTGCATCCATCCATCATAAAGTGCTCCATACGGCTCCGGGGGTTAATTAAGGCCTTCTCAAGCGATGTGTTTGTGTAAGAAATATATCCATATTTAAACCTTTATTAGCTATAATAACTAGCTTCATTTACACCTAGGATGGCTTGATGATGGTGAGTAAATCATGGGGAAATTATAATTTTTTGGTGAACTATCCCTTTAAATCTAGTATATTTAGTTTCTATGTAGTTTAACACGGGTATGTTTTTTTTTCTCTCTCTCTCAAAAAAATAGCCTTGGTGTTAAAAACAAACAATTATCAGGATAAAAGTTTTTTTTTGTCTTTCTCAAATGCCACGTAACACTCACTTTTGTGTGTCTGAAATCGTTATAGTCCAGATTTCCCTAAATCAGACTGACAGAATCAGATAAAACAATTGAATTTTGCGTTCTTCACCACGTCAATTGGACTAAAATTGCCCTCGAAGTTGTGCACTTTATCTGAGGTTTTTAACCCTTCAAATATTGATTTACACATTGTCATGTATTCTTAGACTTACAGATGCAGATTGTAGCTTGACTACAAAAAACCCTCTGTAGCTTGAACTGCACATTTAAACATACTCAATTATTCGTAAGTTTAAGTTCAAATTAGCTAATTTTCAGTGAAATTTCGTGGGCAAAAAAGGTCCTACTGTCAACAGTGTAGTGATATATGAAGCACAGCTCACAAAGAACTAATTTAAAATCCAAGCAGCTTTTAGTTGGTCAACGTAGCGAAGTCGTTTGCGAACTTAAACCCGATGCAAAATCTGCATGGGGAAGTCTTTTGCCCTCATGTTAAATTCCTGATAGCATGGTTTACTGTTGAAATGACTGGAAATTCACTAAACAATGGTAAATGTGACCTTAATACTGCACATCATATCACCAAATGTGCATAGTTTTCTATTTGATCTTCATCTGATTTAGAATGCAAGTGAAGGTATTTTTACTCTAATAAACCGGCCTCCTCTTTTCCGTCAGTATCCGAGAGCCTGGGCGTTGGCCAGAGCGACGGCATCCCTGCTCCTCAGAAGATGCTCTTCCTGGGGAACAAGCTGTCCATGAAGTGGGAGCGAGTGTATCGGGTTGGAGCCGGACTCCACAACCTGGGCAACACCTGCTTCCTCAACTCCACCGTGCAGTGTCTCACCTACACCCCCCCGCTGGCCAACTACCTCCTCTCGAAGGAGCACAGCCGATCCTGTGAGACAGCACTTCACTCAGCACAATCTACGCTAGAATGCACACGTCATCAGCTTTGTGGTTGTAGCGAACATTAGTGCTCGACAGGGTGGTAGTTGCCAGGGATGTGTCCGAAGCCTGAATTCGGAAAGGCACTGAAAATGAATGGCGCATTCTACGGAGCGCCTAGAGGGACATGGTTAGGATTGCTTTAGTCGTCAGATTTCCCTTATCATGTGAAGATGGTTAAGAGAGATGACTGACAGGATTATTCGCTGCGCAACAGATCCTGAGCGTCATTGACAAATATCTTGTCTTATAAAATGTGCGGATAGTACCTACGGGTGTGCACAAATTTTCAAATAATAATTTGAATACTATTCGAATTGGGCCATAAATGCATGATAAATCCCAAGCACTAACTCAGTTATAATTAAATGCACTGGGTGGCGCTGTGGAGTGTGTTAAGTTGATTGTATATTTGATCACATAATATATGAACATACTAAATTATATTACAAAATGGAATTACTTTTAATCAAATTAATTAATGAAACTGAGTTCTGCATATCGTAGCAAAATGATTTTGAGAGATGCGCTTCAACGTCTGTCAGCGTGTTTTCTCACTCAAGCATATTATTGTTTTTCTCAACATGAAAGAACACACTGGAAACCATCGAGTGTATATATACGTTTTGTTCTGTCACACACTGATGATGGCTTAGGCTGAAACGCGTCTGTGTGGACATGGTAATTATTAAAAAGATCTGAGATATATCTAGAGAGTGCGGTTTTTCATCTTTATTTTATATACGTTCTGTACCATAACTTTATTGGCGTTTTTATTTTTGCGTTCGCGCTGCTCGAGCTTAAATGCTTTTGTTCTTTAAATATTTTGTTTACGCACTGTTTAATGTTTTCAACTAAAAGAAAACCTTTAAGATATAATATAAGCTTGTTGTGTATATTGCTTAATCGTAAGCTTGTTCAGAAATGGTGACAAAAACATAAAAAATAACGTCCTTCTCGTTGAACGTCATTTAAATAAACGAATATTAGATTTTTATGAGCCCAAATATTCAAGTACAATGAGTCTCATTCATGAAACATTCGTAAATATACGAGTAAATATGAGAGTGGTTTGCGTGTAAAGAGACCTTCCTGAAAACTCTTCTCCTGATTCACAAATACTTCGTAAACGTCAGATGTGATAGCGAAATGTGTGTGTGTGTTAATGAATTCCAATCAGTCGTAAATGGGACGCGCTTGCACGCTCATTCTCAATTACCATAAATCCCGCCCATTAAATCCGACTGACAACTAAATATGGGCATCATATTATGACACCAAACGAAGGATTTCAACATGTCTTCTCAAAAGCGAATGAAAAAGAAAATTTCTCAGATGCAGAAATCAAAGTTTTATTATTAGAAGTTAATTCAAAACACCACATTTTATTTTCAAGCAAACATAGTGGCGTATCAGGTCCTAAAAAAAGCAAGCTTGGCAGCATTACAGATGCAGTTAATGGAGTTTCATCTGTTAATCAAACAGTCCCAGAAGTAAAAAGAAAACCGTATGTAATTACTATATATAATATTTTTTCAAAAGGCTGTGTAAATATGTACCCGATTAAGGTGAATTAAAATGCAGCCTTAGTTATTAATGAGCAAAAAGTTCAGATGTTAAACTCACTATTTACGCGTGGCTGGGAGCGGGTGTAGATTTCTTTCGTACCAACTAACATTTGGAAAATACAAACATTTTAATGAATCCGAAAATTTACGCCAGAACCACTTTACACACGATTTACACAAAAATTCGTTCTGCTCGTGTTTCATGAATGAGACCCAATATTTTTGATACATGCCCATCCCTAGTAGTACCGCCACTCCTTATACACGGATCACTCGTGATCACGAATACGAAAGTGAAAGTAAATAGCACGCGTTCACATTCAAAAGCGATTTCAATACACTGCATATTGATCGCAGCTCTCCGATGCCCGCAAATTATATACAATATAATTACTACTATATAATTGTGAGAGAATGTACAAGCATTGAAATATGTTTAGCTCTTTTTTTCCATCACCACGTCCCTTTAGGAGCTCTGTGGAACGCGTAATTTCCTTTCTGGACACAGTATTCGGGAACATCCCATGAAGTTACCATGTCTGTGCCATTGAACCAGATGTATAGCTAGCTATGCAAATGTTGACTGCATTAAAAAAAAGACAGTTGTTGAAAGAACCAATTGAAATAAAAAAGTTGTAATTTTTAGCTTATTTTAAAGCTTGTTTTGTCTATTTTGAAGCCACCCCTCTTGGAAGCGTTCCCCTGGTTGAGAACCACTGGTTTAGAGTATATTTAGTTTGAAATAAAAATGCTAACATTGTAGAGGTAGCTGGTTTGTCCCATAGGATGTTTCCTGTCTGGAATTCACTATGATTGCTTATGTAAAACCCCTCTTTTGACTCCTTCAGGTCACCAATCTGGATTTTGCATGATTTGCGTAATGCAGAACCACATCATCCAAGCCTTTGCCAACACGGGCAATGCCATCAAACCTGTATCGTTCATCCGAGATCTGAAAAGTAAGAGCTTAGCCAAATTTGTTCAAACAAGCATGCAACATTTCCAAATGGCTTTTATAAGAGATGACTTGCACATTACAGGAAGGGCTGCTGATGACTACTGTTGTAGCCGGTGACTAAGTGTTGAGTCATGAAACCGTTTCCCCAGATGCTCCTGGGAGTGTTGATTCTTTTCTTGCTCCCTTTCCTTAATTATCCTCTGACACAACCTGATTATATATATTTTTTAATCTTTCAGAAATTGCTCGTCATTTTCGATTTGGGAGCCAAGAGGATGCTCACGAGTTCCTGCGTTACACCATTGATGCCATGCAGAAAGCTTGTTTGAACGGATATCCCAAGTAAGAGCACAAAGAGTTTGTGAGTGAAACCCACAGTTTGCTTTATTGGATCAGAGGAGTGACAAGCCCTTTTGTTCACAGGCTGGACAGACAGACACAGGCCACCACGCTGGTCCACCAGATTTTTGGGGGTTATTTGAGGTCAAGAGGTGAGCACAAACACCACATGATTTAAGAGGCTAACCATGATCCATTGAGTTTCAAAGGAAAATGTGATGATTTTGCTGGTTATAGATAAAAATTGAGTAAACATTATTGATTTCAGAAGAAAAATCAACAATAATAAGAATGCATGAGGATATAATTGAGATATTTTAGCTGGATCACCCATTCTGATTGATCGATGGATGGGTGAATAGATAGTCTTCAGTGTCACATGATCCTTTAATATGCTGATTTGCTTCTCAAGAAACATTTCTGATTCTTATCAATGCCGAAAACCATTTTGCTGCTTAGTGTTTTTGTGGAAACTGATACATTTCTTCCCAGGATACTATGGAAGCTTGATTCTGCCATGGAATAAAAAAGACAATTGCAACTTTTAATCTCACAATTCAGATTTTTTTCTCGCAATTGTGAGTTTACATCCCACAATTCCTGGCTTTTTTTTCTGACTGTGCAATATAAACTCGCAATTGTGAGGTATGAAGTCAGAATCAGTGTGTTTATTTTGTATTCTCTGTTTTTGCAGTGAAGTGCTCCGTTTGTAAAAGCGTGTCAGACACGTATGACCCGTACCTGGACATCGCTCTGGAGATTCGGGTGAGATTCTGACTTCTGTTTTTCGAAGCCCTGTGGTTCAGCCATGCCAGGATGATGAATGTCTTTTGTCCCAGGCTGAAACCTCCTCTGAATAACATTAACTCTCCATTTCAGCAAGCGGCCAACATCGTTCGCGCTCTGGAACTATTTGTCAAGCCTGATGTTTTGAGTGGCGAGAATGCCTACATGTGTGCCAAGTGAGTTGCATTTATATATCTACAAAACATATTCGTGCAGGCCAATCAAGCTCTTGACCCAGTAAGCAACCATTCACAACATATTTGCATCTCTTTAGTTGTTTCTTTTCTTGCTTTAGATGTAAGAAGAAAGTTCCAGCGTCTAAGCGGTTCACAGTTCACAGAACATCAAATGTGCTGACGCTGTCACTTAAACGGTTCGCCAACTTCAGTGGGGGGAAAATTACCAAGGTATCAGCCTACACACGCCACTGCCACGCAAACGGGCCTTTAGTCTTGATCAACCCATTGATTGATGGTTTTCTGGTAGGATGTCGGCTACCCAGAGTTCCTGAACATTCGTCCGTACATGTCCCAGAGCACTGGAGATCCTGTGATGTATGGCCTCTATGCTGTGCTTGTGCACTCGGGCTACAGCTGCCATGCTGGACACTACTACTGCTACGTCAAGGTGAGCGCCCTGTAGTAAGTCTTTTAAATAAAACCTGCTTATTTAATCATTTTGTTTTTTAAAGTGCCCTTTATTATGCTGTTTTAAAGGTTCCTATTTTTTGGAGTCTCCTACAATAGGTTTACATGCATCCAAGGTCAAAAAACAATAATTGTTCTCACAAAAATTGTTTGATAAAGGTTTCGATCTCTTTTAAACTCCTTTCCGAGAGCCTACTCTGCTCTGATTGGTCAGATGCCCCAGTCTGTTATGATTGGTCTACTCTGCTCTGATTGGTCAGATCGTCCAGTCTGTTGTGATTGGTCTGCTCTGATTGGTTAGATGCCCCAGTCTGTTGTGATTGGTCTACTCTGATCTGATTGGTCAGATGCCCCAGTCTGTTATGATTGGTCTACTCTGCTCTGATTGGTCAGATCGTCCAGTCTGTTGTGATTGGTCTGCTCTGATTGGTTAGATGCCCCAGTCTGTTGTGATTGGTCTGCTCTGATTGGTTAGATGACCCAGTCTGTTGTGATTGGTCTGCTCTGATTGGTCAGATGTCCCAGTCTGTTCTGATTGGTCTACTCTGCTCTGATTGGTCAGATGACCCAGTCTGTTGTGATTGGTCTACTCTGCTCTGATTGGTCAGATGCCCCAGTCTGTTCTGATTGGTCTACTCTGCTCTGATTGGTCAGATGCCCCAGTCTGTTATGATTGGTCTACTCTGATTGGTCAGATGGCCCAGTCTGTTGTGATTGGTCTACTCTGCTCTGATTGGTCAGATGCCCCAGTCTGTTATGATTGGTCTACTCTGATTGGTCAGATGGCCCAGTCTGTTGTGATTGGTCTACTCTGCTCTGATTGGTCAGATCGTCCAGTCTGTTGTGATTGGTCTACTCTGCTCTGATTGGTTAGATGACCCAGTCTGTTGTGATTGGTCTGCTCTGCTCTGATTGGTCAGTTTTACCTTATCAATTTAAGTGCGAGTCCTCTGCCTTTGGAAGAGATGCAAAGTGTATTTGCTTGGAAAATGCAAGAAAACAGCATCTACTTGGAAGGTCAACAACAAAAACCAAACTCTTCCAGCCTCAGCTGCAACTATAGTAAAAGTAGACCATGTTCAAGGGCAATCAATAAAGACCATATGCTGACATTGTGCACATTTGTAAGACTGGAATTATTGGAATTGTTTTTTTGGGAGACTAACTCCATTTGCACTGAACTTTAACATTCTCAAACATCTAGATTGCACACTACATGAACAGAAATGTTCAAAAGAGCATACTAGAGGCACTTTAAAATAAGCTCATTTTAATTTATGAATCAGCAAATGTATCCCTAAAATAGCAGGACAAGACTATATTGTATCCATCTGGATTTGATTGCATCATAACAAGTATACAAGTACAGACCTTAGTTTCAGTAGTCATGTCAAAGCAATAACTAAATCAGCATACTATCATCTGAAAAATATTGCAAGAATTAGATGCTTTGTTTCCAGTCAAGACTTAGAGAAACTTGTGCATGCTTTCATCACCAGCAGGGTGGATTATTGTAATGGACTCCTCACTGGCCTTCCCAAAAAGACCATAAGACAGTTGCAGCTCATACAGAACGCTGCTGCCAGGATTCTGAGCAGAACCAGAAAATATGAACACATCACACCAGTCCTCAGGTCTTTATACTGGCTCCCAGTTACATTTAGGATTGATTTTAAAGTATTATTACTGGTATATAAATCATTCAATGGGCTAGAATATCCGAATTCCCCAGTTACACACACATATAATCATTGATCGAATGCCGCAAAGAGCTGGATGAGAGACAATGTTGCCTTGTTGATACGTGGATAACTAGCCAATTGGGGGGAAAGTTGATCATGTGTTGTCGTCATTTTTAATTTGTTTGGTTAATATTCATGTCCTTTGATAGGCCAGTAATGGGCAGTGGTACCAGATGAATGACTCAATGGTGCATTCCAGTAACATCAAGGTTGTCCTTAATCAGCAGGCCTATGTCCTCTTTTACCTGAGGTAATATTCATGCTCTTATATCTGCTGTTCATATTTCAGTAGTCAGTAGATATGCTTCATTATTACAATTACATCTTTTGTGTTGTAGGATCCCTGAAAAGAAAAATACAGAGGCTTCAAATGCAAAGCAAAACATGGTGCACTCTGGGAGAACTAACATGACATCGGATCAGCCGAAGAAGAGCACATTCAATGGACCTTTGTCTTCACCACAGGTTGCAAAGGTAGGCATGTCTGACACCATCTGGAGATTTGATTTTGATTTTTACTCCTACAATAGGTTTACATGCATCCAAGGTAAAAAAAAACTTTTTTGATGGTTTATAATACTATGTATTAGTATGTTTATATTACTATGTCAACACAATGGCCAATCAGAGGTGTTTAAGAATACGCTCAAAATGCTAGAGGGAAATGCGCCACGACGCATGCGCGAGAACTGAGAAGATGATGTTCAAGAAGTAGTAGAAGACCTGTACTGTAGGATCAAGATTGCGTTTTTTTAACAAGCGGTTTAATCATTGCCAGCTTAAAAGTTTTTGGTACATATCCTATTGACAAAGATGAATTAATTATATTAAGAAGAGGATCTATGACCTCTGGAAGCATCTCTTTCAGTAGCTTAGTTGGTATAGGGTCCAACATACATGTTGTCGATTTAGATGATTTAACGAGTTTAGGAAATTCTTCCTCTCCTATAGCAATGAATGAATCGATTTTTTTGTCAGGGAGACTACAATACACTCCCTGATGCGATGCTGTAGTAGACGGTTGCATAGTTATAATTTTCTCCCTGATATTATCGATCTTATAAGTAAAGAAGTTCATAAAGTCATTACTGTTGTGCTGCTTGCAAAACGTCTGGGCTTGAAGCTTTATTTTTCGTTAGTTTAGCCACTGTTTCAAATAAATACCTCAGGTTTTGTTTATTTTCTTCTAATAGGGTTGAAAAATAAACAGATCTAGCAGCTTTTAAGGCCTCTCTGTATGCAATCGAGCTATCCTTCCATGAAATGTGAAATACCTCTAGTTTTGTTTTCTTCCAGTTGCGCTCCATTTTTCTGGCTGCTCTCTTAAGGGCCTGAGTGTGCTCGTTGTACCACGGCGTTGGACTATTTTCTTTAATCTTATTTAAGCGCAAAGGAGAAACTGTCTAAAGTGCTGGAAAAGAGAGAGTTAAAAGTTTCTGTCGCAATATCGAGTTCCTCTAAGCTATCTGGGATGCTGAGATGATGAAACTGATCAGGAAGATTATTGATAAAGCAATCTTTAGTGGCAGAAGTGATGGGTCTTGTGACTCCCATCTAGCGAGAGTCGGCTTTGGTGCCTTGGCTAAATGAAGTTTGCACGAAACTAGATAATGATTTGAGATGTCATCGCTCTACTGCAGAATTTCAACGGCATCAACATCTATTCCATGTGATAATATTAGATCAAGATTATGATTACGACAATGAGTCAGTCCTGACATGTGTTGTCTAACTCCAATAGAGTTAAGAATGTCTTTAAATGCCAATCCCAATGCATCTTTTTCATTATCTACATGTATATTAAAATCACCAACAATTAGGACTTTATCTGCAGCCAATACTAATTCTGAGTTCAGCAAGTTCTTTGATAAAATCTGTATGGTGCCCTGGTGTCCTGTATACAGTAGCCAGCACAAATCTCAAACGTGATTCATAATTTACACTATAAATTGTTACATTAAGCAGCAACACTTCAAAAGAATTATATTTGAAACTAGACTTCTTAGTAATTGTGAAAATATTTCTATAAATTACAACAACACCTCCCCCTTTGCCTTTCAGATGAGGTTCGTGTTTATAACCGTGATCTTGTGGGGTTGACTCATTTAAAGTAATGTAATTGTTTGGTTTTAGCCAGGTTTATGTCAAACACAACACGTCTAGTTTATAGTCAATAGTCACATTATTAACAATAGTGCTTTTGAAGTAAGGGGTCGAATATTCAGTAACCCAAGCTTTATCATTTGTTCATTTGTATTAAATCTGTTTTTTTTTCTGAATTATCTGACCTTGGTGACGTGAGGCCGCTAGCAGACGGTCGGTTTAGCCAGTCTGTCTGCTTCCTGACCTGAGCCCCAGATTGTCATGTTTGAGCTCTAAGACTTTGTGCCATATTACTAGAGAGAAGAGCAGCACCAGCCCAGGAGGGATGAATACCATCTCTTTTCAACAGGTCAGGTCTGCCCCAAAAACGTTTCCAATTGTCTATGAATTCTTTATTATTTTGCGGACACCACTTAGACAACCAGCCATTGAGTGAGGACAGTCTACTAACCATCCCATCACTCCTGTGAACAGGAAGGGGGCCAAAGCAAATTACAGTGCCTGACATCGTACTTACGAGTTCACACACCTCTTTAACATTCATTTTAGTGATCTCCGCCTGGCGAAGTCTAACATCATTACTGCCGACATGAATAATAGTCTTAGAGATTTCACGATTAGCATTAGCCAGCACTTTTAAATGTGCTTTTATGTCAGGGGCTCTGGCTCCCGTCAAACATGTGGCTGGTGGCTGGTGTCTCTATTTTCACGTTCCGTGTAATAGAATTGCCAATAACAAGGGAATATTCAACAGGATTCTCAGCGGGTGTTTCACTGAGTGGGAAGAATGTGTTTGTTATGGTAGTCAGAACGGAAGAGCGGTGTTTTATCCTGCGATTACAGCGTCTCACCATCACCCAATTTTTAATAGAGCGAAATAAATAAATCAAGAGCGCACGGATGGCACGCTGACAGGCTAGCGAATTACTAGCGTGTTGTAATAGAAACGATTTAGATTGAAGCTAGCGATGACAGGTTAATATGTGATGTTGAGTAAATTATATTTAGAAGTATAAACAACAGGGAATGAACAACTCTACTGGGGGTCCATCAGAACCATGGTTGGGAACCACTGTTACTGGCACAACATCGCATTTGCACAGCAACATACTAACATCACATTTTTATAAAAAAAAATCTAATTTTTCCCCCTCCAGAAGCTTGATCCCGCTCAGCTGAGAAAAATCCAGTCTGTGGATGGAGGTCTTGGTATTCCAGTAGCCAGGAACTGTTCAGGGATCCAATCGCCGAAGATGTCTAATGGTACAGGCACGTCTCACGCCCTGCCCAAGCTGTCCAGTGGACCCACACTGATCGAGGACTCCTTTAAGAAAGTGAAGAAGCCCGTACCTCAGCCTCAGTCCCGCAGCAGCACCCCTGCTCCATCCAACGGCCTCCCCAGACCCAACAGCGAGGGCCGAGGCCTGCCATCATCTACCTCACTCAAATCCCTGTCTGACAGCTCCTCGGCAGACACATCAGAGTCGAAAGTAAGTCCCCGTGGACCTGTTTGTGCTGGTTTACTGGTGGAGTTTGTCCAGCAAAGTGAACTGACAGTCCTGTAAGAGTTTGGGTGTGATGACATGGGCTGCACGATATTGGAGAGAACTGACATTGTGATTTTTTTTTTTTTTTGTGATCATTTAAAACATACAGGAAGTTTCACCAGATGACTTGAATAGCAGCTGTATTTGGAAAGAATTAATCATTCTACAGTGAGTGGGGTGATTGTTGCATCTGCATAGAAAATAAAAATAATGAAAAAAAAAAGTTGAAAAAATACTTTTTACCCTGAAGAATTTTTAATGGCAAACTTATTTGAGGGCTGAACGATTTAGGAAAAGCTTCATGCTAATAAAAAAAAAAGAAGATTTTTGAAGTTGTAAATAAAGATTTTTGGAGATTTTTCACAAAAATTATTTCAGTATTTCAACGTAATTTCATTTTTTTGCAATGCGTTATTTGCCATTTCTTTGTCATTGAGTGAATTTTTAAAGTAAATCCTTTATCACATTTTTTTGTGAGTGTTGAAAAATGGGGTGTGTTACACTTTTTTACCAAATCAATATGACTATAGAATAATAATTATGGTTTTATTGTGATTTATTATTAAATTAAAATATTGAGCAAAATTAAAATAAATTTGTTGTAATAATACTATATAGTACTGTAAAATAAAAATTATTTTACAAAGAATTTGCATAAATAAGTGCTACATTAATATGTATGTCTTAATTCGTTTTTAAACAGTAACCCATTTTGTCGGATTGCTGGCAAATAAAAATATTTCAGAGTGAAGCTCAGCACCGTGTTCATTTACATGCATTCAGCTCATGCTATCAGGGTTGTAAATACCCCGTTTCACTCTGAAATCAATCAATCAAATCACAGCCTTAGCGGTTTGGCAATTTTACTAAGCCATATCGCGATATCGGTTTTATTTTATATATATCGTGTAGCCCTAGTATACTTGTGTAAACAGAACACTGCATACCAGCTTCAAGTCTGCAGATTTTTCCCCTTATTTAGTCAACACGACATATTCATGAATATTCACATTATGAGCGCAGTTTGAGTTCCTCTCACCTGTGGTGTGTGTTCTCTCTCTCTCTCTCAGGAGTCTATTGGCACGAGGAGCGCGCCTGTTGGCGGCTCGTCTGGTGTGAACGCCCCGTCGTCTCCAGCTAAGAGCACAGAGCGTGTGAACTCAGAGGAGCAGAAGCTGCTGAAGCTCAAACCCCAGGCTCTGACCAATGTCGCCTCAGAGGCCGTCAGCACCATGTCCCCCCCGCCCGCCAAACGACTCGCCCTGTCCGCCAAGAAGGTCAGTCTCAGTCCAGCCTCGTTTCATCTGCTGGTGGCGCTCGAGACTGCTTGTTTGTTTGCCTTCCCATGTTTGTCCACTTCATTCCTCGTAGACGAACAGATGTTGAAAGACTTTGCTCATAACGGCCAATAATCTGTAGTTATAATATGTTTACTTCTCAGCTCATGTCTGTTTTGTCGGTTCGCAGTCTGCACTGCTGTCCTTTTTAAAAATTTATTTAGTTTTTTTTTATTTCTAACAATTTCTAATTCTTCTCTGCTACACTTTCTTTTCCCTTCCCCCTTCCTACTGTTTTTTTATTTCCTTCTTTTTTGGTTTGATTCTGATGATTTCTTCCCCCATATGGGTCCCTTTGTCATTGTCACGTTTCATGGCTATGTTTTTTTATTTTATATTTTTTTTAGACCACAAAGTTTTTATTTATGTCAATAACTGCAGGCCAGTCCCCGGCAGAGCCCGAGCAGCAGCACTGAGGCTCCGCCCCCTTCATCTCTTCATCTGTCCAGTGACCTCCTTAGCCAGGCCTCAACTCACCCGCACCACAGGTACACACTCTCTCTCTGATATGTAGAGCTTACAGCAGATTCGGTTCAAAGTCGGCATGAAGCGGAAGTTGCGATAGCCTTTTCTTTCCTATTGTGATGTGTATACATCTAATCGAATCGTCTTCTCAAACGAACAAATGTAGAACGGCGCTTGAACACTGCTGTGTGCTGCAGTTCTGCTGTGACTTTCGTTGAAGCTATTTGTTGCAAAAAATACTGACAATAACCCTTTAAGTGACGTACATTTTAAACAGTAGTTTACCCCAAAATGAAAATTCTGTCAGTAATTACTCACTCTCATGTTGTTCCAACCCCATAAGTCTTTCGTTCATCTTCGGAACACAAATTAAGATATTTTTGATTAAATCTGAGAGCTGGATCACTCCTCCATAGGCTTCTAAGGGATTGAAACTTGCCAGCCCAGAAAAGTTATGAAAGACATCGTTAAAATAGTCCGAGTGACTACAGTGGCTCAATCTTAAGTTTATCAAGCAACGAGAATACTTTTTGTTGCGCAAAAAACAAACAAAAATAACGACTTTATTCAAATATTAATTTCCTTCTCTGTGGGCCTCGAGTGAGTTTACGTAGTGTAACAGCGCAGCACTTCTGTGTTGTACGTCACACGTAGGCTCTCTATTGGCCGACGGTGGTCATGTGTGTGATGCATGGTGACCAAACATTACCTGTTTATTCTTAATAAGAACTTCCTATAGACGACAAATGTTGAATTGGTTCAACTACAAAAGATTTGTTACAGAATAGTTGCATCTCTCTAGAAAACAAATAATGTCAAGTTGACTCAACTAAACGTTTTTTTTTTTTTTTTTCACAGACAACTTGTTTTCAGTTTGTATAAGTCTTATTTACAAAAGTTGAGTCAAGGAAAAAGCTAGGGGAAATTAGTACCAAGATTTTTTTTGTTGTACGAGATTTTAACAGTGTGGGTTTTTGCTGAACCAACACAACAAAATCAGTCATTTCAACTTTTTTCAAGTCGTGTTTTTTACAGTGTCTGTGTCTATACTAAGTGCTAAATGGCCACTTTTACAAAGGTACATTTTCAAGAGCGGCAGTATAGCGCGATTGGCCAAGGCAGCATAATCAGCACGCAACTATACACGCTGCTTGTGTGAATGCTGTCAGTTTTGACCGCAAAAGATGAGGTAATTTTTGATCGGATGTCATGTATTTACGGCATTTTACGTGCTAGAAATACATGCTCAGTTTTAATGTTATTTTAAGGTGGGGTAGAATTAAATGAACGGGGAAACTTCAGGGATACGTGTACCCCAGTTTGAAAACCACTGGTTTACAGCATTAGTTGTGTTTTGTTACCTGATACGTGCCAATTAATCACTGAATCAAAATCTAATAAAATTGTGAAATTTGTCAATACCAAGCCCTACGCAACATTAACGTTGATGGTAAAATAAAAAACAAAGTACATCTGTCATCTCAACGTCTAACAATTAAAGTGTTTCTATCCTTTGCTCCAGATTTTCAACTCATTCGCTCAACCTGCAGTCTCCACCTTCAACTCGCCTCCCTAAAGATTCAAGTCCCCTTAAACAGCCCCCCTCCACTCTGAAGCCGCCCACTCATGCTCTCTACACACAGACCAATGGCATTCAGCCCCAGCCGCCCCGTACACACAAACCAATCCAGAGCCAGAAGATCCTGTCTGCCTCCTCTACTACAGGACTCCCCCAGGAGCTCGCCAGTCCCACGCTAAAAAAGAAGAAAAAGAAACTAAAACGACGACATTCGGAAGTAGAGCAGGACGCCCCTAAAGCCTCACCCCCAGAAGAACCAAAGCCAAGTACTGAACACAGGCAGAAGAAGAGGAAGAAGAAGAAGAGGAAACGGGAGCTGGAGGAAAATGGCCTTGAGGTCCAGAGGGAGTGTGTGCCGTCTCATCTCGAGACCCATCAAGATGAGGACTGGTGTCTTGGAGAAACTTGGAGCATCACCTCAGAAGCCAAGGGAAATCAGTTAAAGTCGTCTAAAGCTTCGGAGAAATGTCAGACGGAACCTCAGTCAGTGCCTCCGGGTGACCCCGCCCCGAAGAAGAAGAAGAAGAAGCACAAACTCCCGGAGCAGCTGGAAGAGCTCAGGAATGGAGGAGCCACAGTCTCAAAGTGGTAAGTTGGTTACTGAAAATTAGAGCCGTTGAGTCCGATCAAGGGTGCGTTTTGTCCAAATTGGTCGTTCTACCACATTGGATAATGACGCAGTTGTTATTTTGGGGTATTTCCGGATTCAATCGCAGGCTCGTTCTTGAGTACTAGAGCACGTTCTTCAAAAATGGTGCTTTAAATCTCTTGACAAACTAAAAGACGTAAATGACATTTGTATGTTTTCTAAATAAGACACAGATTGCACTGAATGTCAGTTTGCTTATTTCTCTCAAGATTAGGATTTATCAAGTCCACATGTCATGCAAACAAGAAAACTCTGCTTCTAACCACAGATCGAGACTGTCGTACCAAACACACAAGTTTGCGATGCTGTTTGCGAATGTTTGTTAGAATGATGGTTTCGGGAAACACAGACTCGTTTTACTATTCTGATAATGACAGAACTTGCAATCATAGTTGGCTAGCGATGCTTTCGGGAAGCGCACCCCAGCTCGCCTCATGATCTGTTCATAACTGATTTGCTGTAGGGCAGTGAAGTCATAGCAGGATTGCGGTTTACCGGCTGTGCAGAAGTTTAGTGACCGGATCAGCTGAGAGACTCTGCTTGGTCTTAAACGCGCCGTTTAAGCCCTATATATTCTTGATCAGCATGTTTGGCGCATGCAGTTTGGACAGTACAAACTAGGGGTGTAACAATGTATCGTGTCACAATATATCGCAATATAAAAATGAAACGATATGTATCGTGGATAGTGAGAATCTGTATTGTGTGTAGTTCATCCTAAATGAAAATTACTGTGTGAGGAAAAGAAGTTTTCAGAGTTTTAGTGTCAGTACTACATTAACTACGATATATATAATGTATAATAATGCAATGGGGGATAATTTGTTAATCCCGATTGCCAAATGTCTTATGTTAACAGTAAAAAGTTATTATTTTAAATATATCTAGTCACTGACCAATTTCAAAGCATATTCGTCTAAAATAATTATGTTTTCAGCTTCAGCATCATGAATATTTTCGAAATAGTATCGTGATATGTATCGAAACTTGACATGAGGGTATCGTTACACCCCTAGTACAAACACATTTCATCACTCTAATTTATAACTTCTGAAGTGAAGTAGCACAGACATTGGACAAAGATGTTTTTGATTGCTTGTGTCTATGGAGTACATTTTAAAGGCTAAGAGATTGGCTGTATTTATCAAAACTTGACATGGGCTTTACACTTGCAACTTTGCACCCAACCAAAAGGCATTTTAAACTTTTATAGTATAACTTATTTTGTAGTTTAAGTCAACACCATTATTTAAAAAATTAATATGTTTGCCAAATTTCTTTTTAATATCGTATCTCTTTGAATGTGCATATCATTTAAGTACAGTACATCTACCTTCATTTAACCTGGTAAATGGCTTCTTTTTCATCCAGTGCTGTTGTAAAAGAGGTTGGTGGTACAAACTCAAAGACAAAGGACCTAGAAGAGACCAGGAAGAAGAAGAAAAAGAGGAAACAAAAAGACTTCAGAGAAGAGGAGGAAAAGCCGAGAAACGAAGAGGAACTTCAAGAGACCAATGGAGACGAGTCTCCTAGTCAGATTGGAAATACGGATACGCAGAAACCTAGTAAACCGAATACAGGTATAAATACACTTGCTGCTGTAAGATCATAGACATGAGGGGCTTTAGTATTTTAGATGGTATTGATTAGTGGAAACAAACATTTCCTTTATTATTGATCAAGCTTTTGGTTTGATTAGGTCTTTATTTCTTACAGCTAGGATGTTTTTGCTTGATGGGTTTATTGTCAGGGATATGGGTGAGGGATGAAGCGAGGACTCATGATGCAGATATATGGGCTTTATTAATAATAAAATAAAACAAAACACAAACAAAAACTACCATCCAAGTCGTATTTTACCACAAAATCAACAGGACGAAAAGACACTTATGAACTGCAAAAAGATTTAAAGAATGCAAGTTTTTGTCAGGACAAGCTTTTGCTCCTCTGCTTGATCCGTCACCTTTTACTATTTACTTTAGGCTGAATTGGATTCGTAATGGACTGCAAATGAACTATACACCAGAAAACACTTAAAGTACCAATATCTGACATCATATTTCAGAGTTAACCTTCTGGGCTGTTCTGTTACAGCTGCAGTGTTCGTTTGGGACAGCCAGGTTCAGGACGGCTACAAGCGCCAGCAGAGCCTTCAGGAAGCCGAGGGCGTGTCGAGGAAAGGCTCATGCTCCGCTCCTATTGGCTGGGACGGCAAGAAAAGCTGTGATGTTGTCGAGGAGCTCCTCAAGAACTCCTCAGATAAAGCCTATGGAACTGAGGGTGAGTTGTCGGTCAGAAGTCAACCGAACCTTGTGTGCAAAACTTCTCAACTTTCCTGACAGTTGGAGAGGTTAGGATTTATTTCTGAATCTTAACATGTTTATCTGTTTCAATTGCTAATGAACAATTTCTGTTTCTGTTCTGATGCATTTCAACGAGACAGTGTGCTTTCTTCGTTGTTCAGATGGGAAAAACAATAAATACTAGCCAGTTGAATTATTAAATTTAGATTTTTTACCTTTTTGTTTTCTTATGAAGCACAGTTTTCGGGATGAACTAAGATCATAGTCCTCAGTTAAACCTATGCTTGAATTCTTAGCACTACCTGAAATATTGACCGTGTTTTGAATATTTCCTCATCCAGTTCTCAGTTGGGATGGAGATCCGTCAGCCATCAGCAGAGATGCCAGAGAAGATGTACGCGATGCCAAAAATGATACTGTCCTTGACGAGTGGGACAGGGAGTTTGACAGTGGAAAAGTGAGGACTACAACTTTGACTTCAATATTTCAATATTTTTGAGCATTACTTACACCAGGAAACTCATTTTGACTGGAAATGACTGGTTGCATCTTAGACTGCTTGTCGGTGGAATATTAAACTTTTTCGTTTTTGTTTTTTTTAACAAAATGTATGTATACTGTGCACAGTATTTTATTTATTACCTAGTATATCACAATAAACTGAGTCATTTCATTTCCCTCTCGATTAGGTGAAGAAAATGAAAAAATACAAAAAGGAGAAGAGGAGAAATGGAAATGTCTTCCAGAAGATCCAAGAGCGTCGTAACATGTGGTCGGTCACGCCGGGAGGCAGGCGGAGCAGTCTGGGCTGTCGCCACTGAAAGGTGCTTGGACATTTTTTTTGTTTTTCTTCTCCATTCAACACTGTTTCTATGCCATGTTACAAAAGTATTAAACTATTATCCATCCTTTTATTCATACTTGTAAATTTAAGTCAAATCAAACATTAAAATGTGACAAATTTCAATTAAAATGTATCAAAGAAAAAAAGAATTACCGTTTTACTTCTGTTAAACATTTTCAATCTATTTGATGGAAAAAAAAAAAATGGCTCAAACAGTGGTCTCTCAACTTGGCCAATCACATAAATGACATTGAAGACAACCGGTCAAGTTTATTTCACGATAACAATATATATCAGAATATAATTATTTTGTGTGTTTTTATCTAATTTCTGTTATTAAAAATAAGAAAAAAAGTAGCCAACTACAAACAATAGGCCAAAAATATGAGTTGTATTAATTAAATATGAATTGTTAAAATATAATTATGAATTAAACCTAAGGTTTTCAGGTACAATAGGTTTTTTTAATATGTAGTTAGAATCAGTACAGAAATTTGATAATTAAATGTAAAAATAAAATACCGCATAGTCACATTAATGACACAAAGTGACAGCAGCCTAATAAACCTGCTGCTTTAAGAGCAAACAACCAAACGTCCTGGTTGCGTATGCAACCCACGGTTCCATGTAGGAGGGAACGGAGGACGTACTCGACATCGACTGAAATGGGATCACGCTAGGGAGCCAATCATCTTTGAGTATCTTAGAACGAGCCAATGCACATTGGCATGCGAGATCTGCATCTCACGCCCCCTGGCGCGGGTATAAATACAGAAGTAGATGCACGCGCCATTTGCTTTTCGCTGAGGAGCCAAGCGTAACTCGAGTCAGCAGTGGCCCAGCGGTAGTGGCAAGGGGACTACGTCCTCCGTTCCCTCCTTCAGGGAATGGTGGGTTGCATACGCAACCAGGACGTTCCCTTTCAGTCGAGAACGTCACATGTAGTCGACGTCGACTGAAATCGGATCAACCATTGAAAACCCCACTAAAGCTGCCACCCTCCAGTGCCTAGACAAAAGCCTCCTGATCCTCCCGACATTTTTAGCGGAAGAGGATAGGGCTTAGGCCAGGAAGTCACTGATGTTCCACAAGACCCACTCAGTTAGACTTGGATAACACTGGGAAAGCATACCCTGTACATGGAAGGAAGGAAGGCTGAGGAAGCCACATCCTGCCTGAAGGGAGTTAACGTGGAGAATACACACATGAACTGGGCAGATGACCGGGCAGTACAACAAATGGAATGTCACTGTGGTTGCTCCAGCCTATGACAGGGGGGAGACAACACCGAACAGTGATGGCAGAAGGACTCTGCCAAGGGAAAGACACAGGCTCGCCGTAGGTAGCCCGTACCATGGAAGAATATGAACATATACGGGATCACCGTAGGGATCACAAAATGGAACCAGCCTAACACAGGTTACACACTGCTTACGAGTGATAGGCCTAGCACCGGACGCTCCGCCACATCCAATGCCGAGGGGGTGTGGAAGAACTCAACAGGTTTCGGACAAGGGGAATTCAACTGGAGCAGAAAAAGCGCACGTATCCAGTCCATATGAGGGGAATGGCGCAGCAAGTCGACACTTCGAACCGGGCTCACTCCTAGTGAAGTGAGCTTGCAGTCCAGGGGAACAGGGTTCACCTTGGGATTCATACGCCAAGATGATGGCATCCACGAGTGGTTACGGAGGCCAGCAGAAGGGAAAGGCTGTCTCCAAGCAGATGAAGAGCTGATCTAAGGTCCTGAGGTTTGCGTTCTGTCCACATACAGGTGCAGAGCATGGATGGGACCGAGAAAAGCCAGGGCTGGGTCTGCCTCCTCCAGGGGCAGCGCTTGCAGGTTCACCGCCTGGTCCCAAAAGGGAGTGGTAGGAACCTTGGGCACATATCCAGGCCGGGGTCTCTGGACTATATGAGAGTTAGCCGGCCCGAATTCCAGGCACGATTCGCTGACCGAAAATGCGTGCATGTCCCCTACCCTCTTGATGGAGTCCAAAGCAAGCTGGAGAACTGTCTTTTGAGACAGAATTTTTAACACTGTTGCCTGCAGTGGCTCTAAGGGAGGTCTCTGCAATGCGGTTAGCACCAGAGATAAGTCCCAAGAGGGTATTGTGGGCGGTAAGGAGGATTTAATCTCCTTGCTCCCCTCAGGAACCTGGCGATCAGACCGTGCCTTCCCAGGGACTTTCCATCCACTGCATCGTGATGTTTGCGGCAATAGAGGCAACATGCACTTTGAGGGTGGTGGAAGACAGCCCTCACTCCAACTCATCTTGCAGGAAAGAAAGCACGGAACTGATCGAACATCTTCGGGGGTCTTCTCGGCGAGAAGAACACCACTCAACGAATAGGGTCCACTTCAGGGCGTAAGCATGCCTCGTTGGAGGGTGCTCTCGCAGAAGTGATGGTGTCCACGACTGACTGTGGTAGATCACCTAGAACCTCCGCGCCCAGTCCATGGACCAGACATGAAGTTTCCAAAAGTCTGGACGAGGGTGGCATATGGTGCCCAATCCCTGAGAGAGGAGGTCCTCCCTCAGAGGTATGGGCAAGAAAGCAGCTGTCGAGAGGAGCATTAGTTCGGGGAACCAGGTCCGGTTGGACCAATAAGGGGCATTTAGCAAGTCCTGCTCCTCTTCTTCCCTGACTTTGAACAGTAGCTGTGCAATGAGGCTCACTGGGGGAAACGCATACTTGCGGAGGCCCTGAGGCCAGCTGTGGGCCAGTGCATCCGTGCCGAGGGTCCCCTCTGTGCGCGAATAAAACAACTGGCAATGGGATGAGTCCAGAGAGGCAAACAGATCTATCTGTGCGGCTCCGAAGTGGTCCCATATCAAATGGACCACCTGGGGATGGAGTCTCCATTCTCCCGAGGCCACAATCTGTCGTGAGAGCTTGTCGGCGGCACGATTGAGCAGGCCAGGGATGTGAGTGGCACCAAGCGCCCTCGGATGCTTCTGACTCCATAGGAGGAGGTGGCGGGCGAGTTGACATGCGACGGGAACGTGTAGACCACCTTGATAGTTGGTGTACGCAACGGTCTCAGTGTTGTCCGAACGGACCAGTACATGCTTGCCGAGCAGCGTCATCTTGAGGCGTCTCAAAGCAAGGTGTACCGCTAACAACTCGAGGCAGTTGATGTGCCAATGCAGGTGGGACCCCGTCCAAATCCCAGCTACTGCATGCATGTTTTACGTGGCCCCCCAGCCGGTGTTGGAGGCGTCTGTGGAGACCACAGCATGCCTGGACACTTGTTCTAGGGGCACTCCGGCCCGGAGAAATAAAGGGTCTGACCACGGGGTGATTGTCACACGGATCGTGCCGCTTTGCCACGTCCACCTCGGGACTCGGTCGTGAAGCCAGTACTGAAGTGGTCTCATATCAAGCAAGCCGAGCGGTGTAACTCCGGCTGCCGTATGCCCCAGGAGCCTCTGAAAAAGTTTCAGTGGAACCACTGTTCTGCTTTTGATTTGAATTCAGGCAGTTCAGCACCGACTGGACACGTTCCTCTGTGAGGCGCGCCGTGTTTTGGACCGAGTCCAGCTCCATACCGAGGTAGTTGAGGATGCGAACGCCACGCTCTCTCGTGGGAGCGATGGCTGCCTCCACGACCTTCGTAAAGACGCGGGGTGACAGGGCTAGCCCGGAAGGTAGGACTTTGTACTGATACGCCCGACCCTCGAAGACGAAACGCAGGAATGGCCAGTGTCGCGGCAGGAATAGAGACATGAAAATCCACGTCCTTCAGGTCGATCGCTTCAAACCAATCTTGGCACGGATGCATTGAAAAATGCGTCTCTGCGTTAGCATCCTGAACGGGAGCTTGTGAAGGGCCCGGTTCAAGATACGCAGGTCCAAGATTGGCCGTAACCCACCACCTTTCTTTGGTACAATGAAGTACAGGGTGTAGAAGCTGGTCTTCATGTCGGCTACTGACACCGGCTCTATCGCGTCCTTCGCCAGCAGGACAGTGATTTCCGTCCGCATGACAAGAGCAGATTCGCGCAACACCAAAGTGTGGCGAACGCCGCTGTACTTGAGCGGATGCCGGCGGAACTGAATCGTATAGCCGAGCCTGATGGTATTGAGGAGCCAGCTGGACGGGTTGCCAAGCACTTTCCAGGCTTCGATGAACAGGACCAGGGGGACCAAATCTCTCCACCGTGTAGCTGAACAGCCCAACCTGGGAAATTGGGGAGTCCAGGAACCGATCCTTGTCTGCACCCGCCATCTCAACCAGGCTGAGCTAACGATGACGCTCCTGGACCACTAAAGTGGACATCACTAGACCGACCGTACACGCTGCGACACTCGTCCCCCGGAGGGGGTCAGTGGCAGTGCGTAGCTCACTCATGAGCACACGATCTAGACTACCCTCGTGCATATCCATGTGTCTTGGCCTAGTAGACCTGCAACAACGCCAGGGCATGCAAAGAGGAAGCGGCTTGCCCGTAAGCTTTGTAAGCTCTGACCGTCAAGTCTGGCGCAAGCTCACAGGCCTGCGAGGGGAGACAAGGATCCCCCGTCCAAGATGCAGCGGCCGTTGGACACAGGTGTGTCGCAACAGACCGCTCCTCTGGAGGGATAGCCTCATAACCCTTCACCACTCCGTCCGTCAAGGGTAGCGAGGGGGGAAGAACCACTCAGGTAGTTTTTGGCAGTAAAAGATGCCATCCACGACTTAGTAACCTCTCCATGCACTTCGGGAAAGAAGGGCACTGGGGCGGCGGGCTGAGAACCAGCACGGCCCGCCCCGAGGTACCAATTATCCAACCAAGACTGAGCAGGACACGGTGGAGGGTTCCACTCGAGCCCAACAGCCTCGTGGACCGTTTCAGCATAGCTGACAATTCCGGCTCGGGCAATGTTATGCTCCCAGAGGAAGACAACCCAGTCGAGTCATAATTTCCAGAGGCCAGCTCACCCTCCGATGCTGCAATCGGCGTCCTGTCCTCCGGGGGAGCCCCGGGTGAAACTGCTGGCCCAACCATTACAGATGGACCAGTACGCTCCACGGGGGACTCAAACGCCTGTGATGGAAGGGAGGAGTGAGGAGCCCACGGGGAATGGTTACCGGCCGAGAAATCCAACACTATCCTCCTATCACCCATCTCACGTGGCACCTGAGGGCGGGGGGTGGTAATGGGGACTTGCGCTTTGCGGACTAACGCGAGTCTCGATCTCAACACCGCGACATATTCTCGCAATGGAAACATGAACTGTCCACAAAAGCTGCTTCAGCGTGCTGTAAGCCCAAACGTGATGCAACAATTGTGACCGTCAAAGAGAGACAGGGAACGACCGCATCCAGAAACGCACGGGCGGAATGACATCTTGAAAAAGACGCAGACGCACCTGTGTTGCTCTTTCAGAAAGTGAAAAACTCTCACCAGTGCCGGAGCACACAGGGGAATGACCACGGCAACACTGATACAGGAATGGTGCAGCCTGTATCACGAAAGCACTCACTTTTTCCGCCCTCAAACGGATGTCAGACAATCAAACACAAACAGAAATTTGGTTGCTGTGAAAACAGCTGATGAGAGCTCGAAAGCTCGCGATCACCGCTGCACTCGTGCTGTAAACACCGACACCAGGAGAGACTTCCAGAAGAAGCACGACACACTCGCTCGTTGTATAACAAGACTCTTCAGAAGACCTAAACGTGAAGCTCGGCTCCGAAGCAAAAGGCAAATGGTGCGTGCATCTACTTCCGTATTTATACCCGCGATACATCTCTTACATTGCATTACATCTCACACGCCAATGTGCATTGGCTCATTCTAAGATACTCAAAGGCGATTGGCTCCCTAGCGTGATCCCATTTCAGTCTATGTCGTAGGTTCTCGACTGAAAGGGAACCCAATATACTGATGCACATCCGGTTTACACCCAACTGTTTACTTTCACTTGAGATGGGTTAGGATGCGTTGACCTGAATACTCCACACGATGGCCATTTTGACATAATTGTCCATTCAGGCCAGTGTGTCATCGCAATTAAACTTTATCATTTTCATGTCTTTTTAAGTCTTGCGATTTTAACCCATTCCAATTTAAAGCAAACTCTTTGTCTTTAAGCTGACTTAAAATTTCAGAATTACTTTATTTATATATATATATATATATATATATGTAAATTGATCATATCCATTAGTGCATTAGTGTGAACTTGGAGAATAACAGTAATGTTCTTATCTGTTTATAACGAGCCATTTCACTGTGTTTTTGCAGTTTTGAAATGCGGATCCCATGTGTTTCCCCTGACCAGACCAGTTGCCTTATTGGATCAGAAGCAGTCGGATCTGTCTCAGATTCCTCTGAAGTTCACCCAGAATGCAGCAGTACTGTGAAATAAAGCGATGAGGCTGAGGCTTTAGTCACCGTCTGAAATCCAAAATATACGCCATTATGATCTTTGAATCATAGCAAATGTGGCACACTGAAGAGTCGGCACCCTGTTAACCTCTGATGGTCTCAATTATTCTTATTGTAATAAGAAATATTCACCAGGGCCAGTTTTATCCAGGCAAGACTTGGCGAGCATTCGGGCTGTAATGGCCAATGATGCGTGATCTGAGGGCTTCTGTTGAGAGGAGAAACAGGAAAATTAAGCCTCTCCCTCCAATGTTCTTAAGCATCATTAGTCTTGACTCAACAAATAACATCATTGTTCCCATTAGGGAACTTTTGCTCACTTGATTATTTTGCTTTTTCATATTTGAGCCGGTTACTATTAGGCAGTTATTTGCCTGTGTTGCCTTTTTAGTTCGCCACAGGCACACGGCCCTGGTGTCTTACATTGCAATACATTTATTGCTTGAGATTGTATATTTTCATGTCTTGCCTGCTTGAATACTAGCCCATCCTTCCCAACTTTTGCGGTGTTATTTTTTTCATCAAACAGAACTCTATTCAATAACATTTTTGAAGTGAAACGAGTCTCTTGTGGAAATTTCTGCCGTCTCTATAAAGCATCTCTTCAGATTTCCCAAAACATCTCCATTTCCAGTCAGACGACGTGGTCTTATGCACTGTGCTGCATACAACAATGCAATACATTTCATCCATGTGAGCTAAAAAAAAAAACACGGGCCTTAACACAAACCACTGTGTTTTGCCAGGTGGGGTGAATTCCTTAATAATCGGAGTATCCCCTTGTCTTTGATTTAGCGTGTCCCATCCTCTTTTCTACTCTCTATGCAACAACAGCAATCCCACGGATGCTCTAGTCCAGGGAAAGACTTCTGGTCCACACATCATCTCTGTGAGCTGTAAACACACTGTCATGTTCCACGTCTGTTAACGGTGCATTGGGTCATCATGATGAACATGCTTCTCCACTGAAGAGCCGCCATAGGAGTAAACCAATGTCGACGCTTTCCTATTTAGAACATTGTACAGTCTTACCTTGTGCTCTCTGTGACCCTCCAGTCGTTCTTGTTGTTAAACACCATCCCTTTCACGAGTCCTTGGGTTTTAGAAAAGTTGCCTTGGTTTAATTTTTAAAAATGAATAGAACATATTGCGAATTATACTTATTGAAATATGTTAAAATGCACATTGCTAAACGGAAGCCTAATGTATTTAAGGTCTGTGGAATTGTAAGTGGGAAGCTCTATTAAAACAATAGATATGTGTTTGAAAGACTTGCTCTGAAGTCTTGTTCAGGAGCCAGACAAAGACTTCCCTATGCGTTCTCTAGGATGTCTGTATTCTCTTAGAAATTCACTTGAGAGGTTATTTTCAAAGAGGTTGGACGCTGAAGAACAGTGTCTTTGTCATATTTGAATTGATGGTTCTGTATCTAATGCCTTTTCTGAAAAGAAGTCATTCAGTATTGCAAATACATAAATATAGATATACCTGGTGCAATAAAGTTGTGACTTTTGTGAAAAGATGCTTTTTTGGTTGTTTTCTGTAATGCAGTGTATGCAGTTTCTTTCTTTCTACAAAGCTGTCGTAAGGCTTCAGAATACTTCGGATATAATGCAGAATTTGCATATAGCACTTTTATTATGTTTTTTAACGTCCTCCTTTGGACATTTCAATCTGCAGATACTGATACACTGAAATGGTTTACGAATATATTATGTGTTAAGATTATCGTAATGCTTTATAATGAACACGCTTGTCTGAACAGAGCACATGAGTTACTTGTATTTGCTCCGGGAACCATGAACACGCACGCAATCCAGTTTGGTGACCTTGCTCCGTTATCACGCTCTCTTACACCAATTACATCTTCCCTTTTCAGTTTCTGTTATATTATTTAGATTTTTACTTTCAGTGTTTTTCCTCCCATTGTCATAGGAACAATAATTATCATAAATAATCTTAAAGCTGCAGTCCGCAGTTTTTCCTCTGTCGCCATCTCTGTTCAAAATCTGCAATTGCAGTTATTTGTGGAATTATCAACTTTAGGTGAGTTGTACTTCGACACGGCACAGCGCGGATGAACACAATGTTTGAGGAGAGTGTGCAGCTGTCAGTCGCCGCGCCGGTGTGGATACTGGCATTCACAATCACAGATTATTCTTTTTGGAAGTATGACCAACATAATCATTTTCACTGGAAAATGTCATCTGAACAAGTAACATCCACTTTTGTTCTGTTTCTGACATTGCAGTAAATTGCGCTGATTAAATCTAACAATCGCTTATCATATCACGCAAAACCGTGCAAATTATACTTTGTTCTCAAATTGTTAATGTTAACAACTTCAGCATTGCGTGACTACATTTAATGTCCTTCCGATATTATTCTTGTTTTCGCATGGGTCTGGTTGCAGTCTCTTTTTTTCTGTAGCCACTCTGAAGTCCAAACGAAGTCTTTTGCATTTTACAGCGGGTTAATCTGTTGTCACTGGTGATTGTCGTTTGAACCTTTCTGGATCCGCCATCAAATTGATAAGTTTAAGTATATCAAGTGCTGTGAGAAAAGGCTATAAATCTCCACCTCCAGCATCCTCACACACAATATAGCTTATACTAGCCGAGACTCTTCTTTGTGTGAACAGATGTGACGTAATGACGCAAAGACATGCTCGAATCCACCAGTACCACTGGAATTAAAAACATTATTACAAGCTTACCGTTTTGAATCGAGCTAAGGCAAGCAGGATAGTTTTTGAACACTGGCTGGTTATGTATTTTCCCAAAAATGTATTTTGGATCATTTTTAACCCAAAAAAGCTACGGGCTGCAGCTTTAATGCAGTAAAGTGGTTGAATCTTCATCAGAGTCCTGATACACTGAGCTCATGATCATTCACACATCAGAGATTCAGGCCTTCTGTGTATGGAGGGATTATTGGTTTAGATTGAAAACTAAAAGTCTGAAACTAAAAGTCTAAGTCAAAAATGAATTTGGTATTTAGGATTGGGCATTTAGTCATTTAGGATTTAGGATTGGGCATTTGAGGATTGAGGAGTGTATGCAAAAAAGGAGGCGTGGGCCAAATACTGGAGGCTGGGTTTGAAATGGCTGGTGCAGAGGCACCTTATGGACAGCAGAGGGAGCTCCAGTGCTAAGGAGCACACTGTAATGAAACCAAACAGAGCGAGTGAGCAGGGCTGGAGCGAGGACTGTACTTTATAATGTGATAAATTCAACTTAATGACAGCGTTGTAACATTTATGTGGCCTCACACACAAAGTCACCAGTGAAAGGAGTGCTATCGGTCTGACGACGAGAAAGCAGCAGCCATTGTTAATGTGGCAGCCAACGTGGATGGCAGAGCACGACAACTTTCACTTTGAAGAGGACGCTCTGCCAGTGTGCTCCTTAGCACTGGAGCTCCCTCTGCTGTCCATAAGGTGCCTCTGCGCACCAGCCATTTCAAACCCAGCCTCCAGTATTTGGGCCACGCCTCCTTATTTGCATACACTCCTCAATCCTCAATCCCTCAAAAAATCCTAAATGGCTAAATGACTAAGGCCCCGTTCACACTGCAGGCAAAAGTGGCCCAAATCTGATTTTTTTGGGGTCAAGTGACCAGGTCAGACTTCTTCAGAGGTAGTGTGAACACTCAAATCTAGCCCAGATCTGATTTTTTCAAATCAGATTTAGACCACATACATATGTGGTCCTGAATCAGACCCAGATCTGATTTTTTTCAATGCGGCCGCAGTGTGAACAATCAAGGCGGATTTGATGCGACTTTTACGTCAATCTACGTCGACATTTGTCACAATTATGCGCCGGCGAAGCCCTAGACACAACAGACACAGACAGTAGCCTAACATTAAAAACTTGACTAGATATGGAGAACAGGGATGAAGCGAGTCAATGAGAGTGAGGTGTTAGATCTAAGTATATGGGGAGATACTTCAATTCAAGCTAGAAGGACCTACCGTAACCGCTCCGTTTTTGAAAAAATTGCACACGAAATGGAAGAACGGGGACACAGGAGAACAGCGTCTCAGTGAAACTATTCACGTCATATTCCCACCACTCCTGGCTTCGTCTACGCATCCACACAGATCTCTGTAGTGAATTTGCAACCATTAACCCGCAAAAGTTTCCATTACACAAACATTATGAAATAAATGCGAATATGCTTTCTTCCTCCATAACCTCCCGAACTTTAGTGCAACCGCGTGCTGCGTCTGATGTCATTGTTATTGTTCTTTTGCGCATGCCGGTTAGTTTGAAACCTCAAACAGTTCACACTGCAATCAGATATAGGTCACATTTTAAAAGGTAATGTGAACAGCCAATCAAAAAATCGGATCTGAGCAAAAAATCAGAATTGAGCATTAGGACTTGCGGTGTGAACGTGGCCTAAATGCCCAATCCTAAATACAAAATGCCCAATCCTAAATACCAAATTCATTTTCGACTTAGACTTTTTTCATTTAAGACTTTTAGTTTTAGACTTTTAGTTTTCAATCTGACCCAATAATCCCTCCATATCTGTGATCCAGCTGTGTTATCCAAGATCATTTATGCTATGAACACATTTCTAACATTCAGCTGGTACGTTTGAACAATCTATAAACTAATATTACCAAGGAACAAAAATAGCCTAGTGGCTCTTAGTTGAACAAGTAATTGAGTATGATTATAACCTGATAAGAATCAGAATCTGAACTTTTTAACAATGTGACAAGTGGCAGAAAATAAACAATACGAAAACTCTGGATGGTGATGATAAAAGAGGCTGAGATTATGACAAGATCCCTGACAGTTTTTTTAGGCTGAAACCACAGACATTTATTTGAAAAAAATCCCAATAAGACATTATAACATTAAACAAAAAGGAAAAACAGCAGAGCACACATTAAACAGACAGAGATCTCCTCAGGCATCAGTACCATAAACTCATGTGATTGAGTATGGTAATAATAACATGAATCTGCCAGTTTTAAAAATTCACTTACATTTTTACATTCTATTTATAAATTGAAAATATTTCCTGAATGTAATTTTTAAGTGTCACTCAGACCCTGCAGTAGATTGCACGTCATCACGTTCAGTTGAGTTTGGGGCGGAGCTTGTTTTCAGCAGAACTCGAAAACCGAAACCGAAAGCACAGTAATCAAGCGAGCCATTATATGACAGTCGACGCCATTTCAGAAGATTCAAAAAATAAATGTCTTCACAGCTCACGGTAAGTTCGTTAAAACTTTTCAAAGCTGTATAAATACGGAGCATTATCTCTAAACATGTTTGTCGAACTCGAACATTTACACGGTCACAGTTTGACAAACACGAGTTGATCGATGCTTTCCTGATAAACGGAGGTGGTAACTTCATTCACAACCAACTTTATTGGTTGAAAATAGTAATCATAATTATTTTTTTCAAGCAGTATGGATTTTTAGAGTGCATTAAGGACTTTGGCATTAATCAGTCAGACCAAGGAGAGTCTTG